CATTGTGGTAAACGAAATAATAATTTGATCAAAGTAAGAGTTTCTTTTCTCTTCCCGACCTGTAAAAAAATCCTTTCTTGATAGAAAAAAATGAATATTATTTTCGAAATCTGCGTAGCTGAATTATGGAGAATCCGTTATTAAGACCAAAACAACTTTTATGAAGTTTAAATTCGCAGGCCTGTGTTATCGGCCATTAGTGTTTTGAAATCATAATTATGTTTTAACTTTTTTTTAAATCGTCAGGTTTTAAAGGGCCGTATTATTATATTTTCAATTATTTTATTAATATCTATTTGCATTTGTGTTCGAAAGGCCAAGCCTTTATTTTTCTTGTTTTGATTTGATCACTTCTGTATACCTTCAACCTTAGTTTTATTGTGATTGGTTTCAGTATATAAAACTACACGTAAGTTGCATCCAAGACTATTTCTAAGCTTTTCGTTATTATGTAAGTATATCAACAGTAGACTATTTATAAAGACTGTACGAGACCCGCTGGCGCAAAAAAGTACTCCGAATTTTGGGGCTGTGGACGTGCTAATAATAGGGACAACAAATCCAACTATTGCGCCAGACAAAAGTAGCCCAAAAGTTTGTGGTGGATGGTGTAGACTAACTTTCTGCCCTCTAGTCTGTCATTTCAAATTATGCACAGATAGTCTCTTGTGTAGCTACGCGCGAATATCCGAAACAAACTATATAAATTGGTTTCATTATTCAATCCACAATGTGGTTGTGATTTCTGCTTTTTTTATATATATTCAAAAAATCACGAAGCATAAACCCTCGCATACGCTTAGCTCAGGCACTAGGTAATGAACTGACTTAAACTTTATATACATAGAGATCTATGAAAAACAAAATGTTTATAATACTACATTATCACTATGCTATGAACTATCAGCCTGCTCTTGTCCAATCCTGTCCACTTTGACACTCAGATCGAGTATACAGCGAAAGTAATTAAAAACATTACGAAGTATAACTGATATTATTATTATTCAGATAAAGATATTTATTTCAGTAAGCCCAAACCATTTGCTAATGAGTTTATAGACATTTTTTTTCACTTTTGGTTGTTGTAAATAAAATTTGTAAGCTTCTAATTGGCTTACTAGTTTGGGTTTCAAAACTGTTGAATAGCTGGCTTACATTTTTATTTATAATGTTGTCTCGATTTCTATTGTTGGATGGGTTCTTTCGGATTATTGGGAAAAAAAATAATTTAAAGTTCAATCCACTCAACGTTAAGGAAGGCGTTTTCTTTCTTCGACTGCAACTTTTACAAGTTAGCTTAACTAAAATTCACTGATAAGCACAAATTTACATTAGTCACCAATTTCACTTTCTATCAGTTCTCTCACGTACATATGACACTTTCTCTTATCTGCACTACTCAAAATTGAAAAAACTGAAATAGATAACTGTCTCACAGACAATCGAGACAATATAAGACAACTTATATTCTTGTTCATTGGTTAACAAATTCTCTCTGAATATTTCACTGAATAAATAACTGACTGACTCAATAATAATCTACTGTAGCCTAACTTCAAGTTTCTAATCATCAACCCACGCCCATCACGATACATCAAACCTCCCATAGGCTAAACAACAATACAAATTTCTAGAAACATCGAAATATAAATTTTGTATTCTAAAACAATATTTTTGATTTAATAAAAGCAGTAGCACTTGAACTGACTAGACAATTTTTAACTAATTTCAGGAATACTTTTTTCGGGCTTCGTCTATAAAATGTCAAAAGTTTTATACTAATACGGCTTTTGTATTTAGTTAACTTTAACATAACGAATTCATTATACAGAACAACTTGCGGTGTTGAGCCTTGAAAATGCCACAAATGTCTTTTTAAGTGTATACTTTTAAAATAGATACAAATAACTGATTCAAAATTAGAAGCAATGTGAGGTAACGACAATTATTTAAAAGCTAAAATATTCGCCGGTGTTTCTGAATGGTGAGTAGGTTAATTCAAACAAAAATAGATAAATAATATAGCGTTAAAAATTCCTTATCCTATTTCTATATAAAAAAGTTGATGGAATTCCACTTCAACAACTTAATCCAGTTCGTTTGGAAACAGCAGATTGCTTGTATAAATTACATCTCATCCATTACTATGTCTGTCTTATCCAAATCGGCTTGAAGAGTTCTGGCATTGAACGAAACGCCTCGTTGGCACTGAATATAGCAGGTGTAGTGTAAGTAACATATTATTATACATTCTTCTTGATTTTCACTCATAAGTTCTTATAATTACAATAGTTTGTGCCAATGTGCTACGTTCTTCAAAAAGCAGTATCTGAAAAAACACAAAGAAATGTACAAGAGCACTATTTCGTAAAACAATTACGTCTATGAGAAATTGTACCACACGAGCATATGAATTTGACTGCAATATTTTTATTGTATGCGTTTGCCCGGGTCTGCTCAATAAGTACACGATAAAAAGCCAATGCTAAACTATCCATGTTTCTTTTATCATAGTGTTTCCCGAATCTCCATCTGGATCTGACTCTAGTCAAGCTTTTCCATTAGAATTAACAACCTCACGCCATGGAAAAAAGCACAGGGTGGATGATATCGAGGGTGGTGAAGAAAACAAAATACTCGAGAAGGAAGTGGAAAAAGTCGACGAAGACGGACGGCTTTCACCAGCGAGCAATTATTAGAATTAGAAAAGGAATTTCACTCCAAAAAATATCTGTCCCTTACGGAGCGTTCACACATTGCCAACTCCCTCCAGCTCAGCGAGGTCCAGGTGAAAATTTGGTTTCAAAACAGACGTGCCAAATGGAAAAGAGTGAAAGCTGGTTTGTCGTCAGGAAGATCAGTGGCCAAAACCAACGTCCACAAGATTGTCGTACCAATCCCAGTTCATGTCAACAGAATGGCCATTCGTAGCCAACATCAACAGCATTTTGATTTGCTATTTAAATAAAGATAAAAAGAAACTTGATAAGGTCTCATTGCCGTAAGATGAAGACTCACCCCTCAGCTAGAGAGCTGTTGCTGTTGGCAACGAACGGCCATTCTCTTAACATGACCCGAGAACAGTATAACAACGATAAACGCTCACCTTGCATGTAGCTGACTTCTCTAGCATTTGTGTTGGCAACGAACGGCCATTCTCTTAACATGACCCGGGATCAGTATAACAACGATAAACGCTCACTTTGCATGCAGCTGACTTCTCTAGCAATGGTGTTGGCTACGAACGGCTATTCTGTTAACATGATCTGGTATCGATACGACAAAGATAAAAGACTCACCTTGCAGCTGACTTCTCAAGTTGTTGGTGTTGGCTACGAATGGTAATTCTGTTAACATGATCTGGGATCGATACGACAAAGATAAAAGACTCACCTTTGCAGCTGACTTCTCAAGCTGTTGGTGTTGGCTACGAATGGTAATTCTGTTAATATGATCTGGGATTGGTACGACAAAGATAAAAGACTCACCTTTGCAGCTGACTTCTCAAGCTGTTGGTGTTGGCTACGAATGGCCATTCTGTTGACATAAACTGGGATTGGTACGACAATGATAAAGACTCACCTTGCAGCTGACTTCTCTAGTTGAAAAAGAATGTACAGAGGAGACATCACATTTTATCTAACTTTAAATAATATACATTATTTAAATAACTACTTGACTGTATACGGTTACAATTTTAAAATAAGAATACGTGTCAGTTAAAAAAACGTCATAATTAGTAAGAAAATAGAATATCCATGGGATTTGAAAATATGTAAGCCAACAAAACGACTTTTATGTATCATAGTTGATTTTATCATGTCTATGAAATACGTGGAATTAATACAATTGAAAATATTCCCCTTAATTACCATTATTCCCCAAAATTGTAATGACTTCAAATTTGTATTGATTATAACACTATCGTGTATATATACAGACATAAACACACACTTTTGCATATATTGAATATTGTAGAATCTTATGACCCCTGTCTATATATATAATGAAATAAATAGCTTCAATACCATTATTTACATTAATTGTTAATAGGCGATTAAAATCAGGACTATAAAACAGTTATTAACTTAATATAAAATAAGCATTGAGAATTTTAATACAAAATCTATTGTAAATCCCAGTCGTCACCTTAAAGTCACAATGGATATATATATATATATTTATTTATTTATGCAGTGTCAAAGTAGACATCTTAAAATAAAAGGAAGAATTTGGTATTGGCAGTAAAAACTATTTTTGAGTTATTATTTCCCACTTAACGCAGGTAAATAATGTAAGACCATTTTTTCTTGTGTATTATAAATGTTTTTTTTTTGTGTTATGTTTTGTATACTTAAACCGAATGTTGAATTAAGGAATATTTGTATATTTCGCATGGCGCTGAAGATATAAAATCGGTTGTTATATATTATGTTGACCTTATTACACCAGTTGTGTTGTACTGTGATGAAGTCATAACACCGGTTGTGTATATGCGTGATACTGAAGTTATAACATCGGTTGTGTATATGCTTGATGCTGAAGCTGTAACGCCGGTTGTGTATACATTATGCTGACGTTGTAACCCCAGTTGTGTTGAAGTCATAACACCGGCTGTGTATGTGTTATAATACAACATGAAAAGCGTCACTTTATACTTTTAATTCCTACATTAACTTCTACGAAAATAACAAACTAAATAAAGAATAGGCTACGGATTTTACATGACATAACGCAGGATTGGCCAATCGGCGTTTCGGAGTGCCATGTTACAACGTGGTTGTTTATATGTTTCTAATGTATGAGTATGCACGCTTGTTTTGCCTATTTCTATTTGATTATACAAGTATTGGATGACACAGCTACTTCTTCGTCACTTAATAGACCTTGGAACGATTGTACTGATGTAATTAAATTTAAAAGACAACTTATAAATGAAAAGATTTACTACGGTTTACTGTAAACAGTTTTTTAAAGTTGTGGCGACTCTTTGGAATATTAATAATATTTTTTGTTTAATTTTGTTTGTGTGTGTGTCTCAAATGTTATTAAGGAAGCCTGTAACAAAGCCAGTCATGGGCCCTTAAGAAATCTGGTGTAAAAACAGTTTATAAGAATGCGTTTAAAAACCGGCGATGGGCATATGGAACCCATCGGTAATTCTAGGATTCGAAAAGTTTATTGTACTTGAAATAACGAGTTGCCAAGTTTTGTGTTTGAAAACTGTACACCCGACTCGATTCTCATAGCTTTGCTTTGAATTCCGCACAAAGCTACTTGAGGGCTATCTGTGCTAGTCGTCTCTAATTTAGCAGTGATAGACTAGAGAGAAAGCAAAGCTAGTCAACATTACCCATCGCCAAATCTTGGGTTATTTTTTTACCAATGAATAGTGGGATTGACCGTCACGTTATAACACCCCCACTGTTCGGTGACGGGAATTCGAAACCTCGACCCGCAAGTTACGAGTCGAGCGCCCCCTAACCATCAGGCCTTCACTCCTATAGGAGAAGATGGTCAGTTTCGGATGATGGTTGTCACATATCCATCAGAAAATTCGCGTAAGTAAAACTGGATACAAAAATTTTCTTAACATCTAATTTATCTTTGAACAAGAAAATAATTTAAGTATGGTGCTTTATAGGGGACTAGAGAAGCTGAGTCTCTAACTAATACGTTAAAAATTCATAATAAAGCCGTTATTAGATAAAGAACGAAAAAAATCACCATCACATTCAGAATATAGCTATTTTTTGTCTAGATTTGACAATTTTAGGCTATTAAACTAACTTTGATTTGCATCTTGAGTGTGTGTTTGACTTCTACAACGTGATGTTTGGGAGTGACTCATAAATACCGTATTGTGATCCGTGTAAAAAAAACAAAAAAAACATTTGTGGAGTTATAGAGCTTATCTCTGAGTGCTGTACTGTTTTCCTAGCCACCCCTCCCCCACTAATGTGGCCTATCATTGAGTAAGATTTTCTGATATATATATATACAAATATATATATATATTTCTGATATTTTTATTTAAAGAAGGATGACAGATCTGACGAAGAGCGCTAGCTCCAAACGTCATCCTTCTTTAAATAAATGTATATAAAAACTTGGCGATTGTCCAACCTATTATTTAATTTTGATATTTGCATCGCCCCTGCGGTTTTAACTATATTTGTCTACACTAGGTGATCCCACACTAGGTCTTTACTTTATGTTTATTATACCAATACTCACTACACTTATAAGGTTTTACGCCCCCTCCCCTCTCACTGTCCCCTTGCATCCCCGACACTCACATCGTAATGAGCAGACAGTAATGGAACTATTCTATCTGAATAAATGCATTTTAGCTTTTATGACTCCCTCTATTTCGAGAAATCAAGGGAAATCAATTGTGACGTGACGTGACCCACACTGACTTTTATATAGGTTAGATTAGAAACACGGTAATACCAAAAACATCGTTAATTACGGACTTTTGGAATTGTTTCAATCTCTTATCATCAGCGTTGAAACCTCAAAAAGCTAGTTCACAATATTTTAATTACCAAAAACATCAGCTACCGAGCAAGAAGTTTTTGATACAACCAAAAATTTATAAAGAGTGCAGATTGAACGATAACAATACAAAATGCTAATACAGAACACAGACTGTACATATACATATGTATATATATAACCAATCACCAACGGTTCTACACAGTTAATAGGAGTAAGCTTCCAACCTTTGGTAGATATATATCTTTGTGCATATGTATATATATACATATGTTTAGGTATTATTTTCATTAGACCAATTTTAGATGGGATTATATTTTCGCTTTGATATTTTCTGATCTGTTACGTATAAAGGACAAAGTATTTTTCGACTACTATTGTTGTACGCATGACAAACCAACAGTTTCCAAGCGGTACATTTATTCTATAGTAGGCCTAACTCTGTCGTTGTGAGTAGATAAATGGCGTCCCTGATGAAGACGTTAGAAGAAACTTAAAAAGTATTTATTTGTGTGTGTGTATTATTTAAAAATAATTTGTATTATTTAGTGTTTTTGAAGAACCTGCGTTTGTTCAACTGTTATGTCTTTATTTTATCACAACTGTTGTATTATTTAGTGTTTTTGAAGAACCTGCGTCTGTTTCAACCGTTATGTCTTTATTTTATCACAACTGTTACGGTTACACTCTAGTGGAGATCTAGACATGACTTGATATGTATTTCACCTTCTGAAACATAAATGTGATTTGTTTTGGTCAGACTATGGTTTACGATATATACCAAATCACGAAGTAACAAAACTATATGCTATACCATTGTAAATGCTTTGCATTATGGCTGAAACGATGGTCAGTGTTGATACTTACGTATATTGCAAGTAGGCCTAAAAACGTCTACACTATGCCAAAGTACACGCTACCCTCACTTCATTTTACGGAATCCTGTCGTAGCAGCAATGAAGTGTTGGCATTATAGTTGTGTTTAAGCAATTGAATAAATCAAATAATAATTAAAAAAATTTCAGGTAGCATAGTACACACTGGAGTGTCAACGTTTTTAATGAAGAAAAATGGCCAGTATGCAGTGAAAATTATTTGTTTTCTCAACGTTTCACCTTACGGCTTTATCAAGAGGAGACACCCTTGTGAACACAGGTCCAGTCATAGGAGTGTGGTCGCAGCAAATTATATTATATAAGCACGTTTTGTTTGTTTGTTTGTATTTAAGCACAAAACTACACAATGAGCTATCGCTGCTGTTCCCACCACTGGTATCGAAACCCGGTTTCTAGCGTTATAAGTCCACAAACATACCGCTGTGCCCCTGAGAGGCCCTTTTTTAGCATTGAAACAGGAAGAAGACGCCACGGTTTTCTGGAAAGAAAGTATACAAACAGTACAGAGGGTTTCAACTTTAAATGTGGGATTTGTGTATGTGTATATAAACGTTTCAATACCTTCTGCTGTATTTCGTTTCTAAACAGTGCGTGTGTATTTGGTTATAAGTATATTTATAGTTTACCTCTATCTATTTATTAGATGTGAAAGCTCGCGTGGCTCATCTCTTCGTTTTTTAAATTAGTATTTTCTTCGCCGTGTTTATTTTTGTTTCCTTTTATTCGGTTGTTTTTCAGAATTTGTAGTACATACAGGAAGAAATTAGAAAACAACTACCTTTACTCTGCAGATAATAATACTTTTAATTTCACCCAACGTTTCGCCATTGTGGCTTCATCAGGGTTAGTAAAACAACTGATGTCTGAAATAAAAAAGTTTTTTTATTATTATCTGGAAAGTAAAGGTAGTTTTTTTTCTAACTTTATTACCTTCTTATTATTTAAAACGTTGTCACATGTCAGATGACAATAAGAACACATTGTTAGTATTTTTAATTACGTCAGTTGTTTGTTTTCTATTAAGTGTTCAGTAATGTGTCCACCTCTTGATAAACGTTGACGAAACAAACATTTTCCAGTGGTTGCTGGTTATTACTCTTCATTAAACAATCAAAAAAGTCAGACATTTTAGTTATTATATTAAATTATTAAACAGAGATAACAGTTTAATATTGTTATATAATTTGAAAATATGGTAATAGTTATAATAACAATAAGAAGCTAGCGATTTATTCTTGACTCAAAATCTAACAATGTGGTAACAACAAAACAGTTTTAAATGGGAGTAGTTTTTGTTGATAATAATAAAGTAATTATACAATAAATTTTCGATGGTTTAATTATCAATAGTTACTTGACGATGCAGCAGTTAAAAGGGTGCAAGTTATACCACTTTGATCCATCACGTACTGTAATATAATGTTTAGATTATTAAATCTATAAACAATAAAACCGGAGAAAAATGTCTGCTTTTGTTTTCTTTGGTCTTTTGAAATTCCCAAATACTCGGGATATCACAGAGTAAAGTTCTCTATGGTTTAAAATCATGTTGTGTGCTCATATTAAGTCCATATATTATTCCTAAAGAGACTGTCTTTGTTCTACCCTTCTTTTAGAATAGCTATTTCGTATTCTAAATCAATCAGATACAGTTAGCTGCGAACAATAGTCAAGACTCTTAATACCGGGGCCAAGTGCGCCCGAAAACGCTAGGGTGCCGAAGGTGCCGTAACGAAATAGACTATTACTCACCGACATGAAATCCGTGCATCACCGGAGGTGATTAGAACGAATAAGCGGATTACACGGCGTTAAACAAGCTTCGCTCGGCACCCGTGTAATCTAAAACTTCACGCTATGTCTAGGCCACTTCACGGTTTAACACAACAGGCATGCCCTGAATATCTGATAACGACGCGTTCGATAATCGGACCTCGTGGACCTTACTGTATAATACGAAGCATTCCTTGTACTAAGTTCAAAAAGAAGGATTGATTGAATGCTTCTTAGAAACGAGCAGAAGCTCAACGCAGAAAGGCATTTACCGGTAGAGCTGTATGGATGTTTACACCGATCACTCTTCTGAAAAGGAAATAGTTTATTTTTTGGTTATTTATTTACTCTGCGTTACTCTGTTGTGTGCATTGTTTCATTTCAAAACGTTCCTGTATTGTTTGTTTGTAGTTAAGAACAAAGCTACACAATAGGCTATCTGTGGCATGCCCACGGCGGTTATCGAAACCCGACTTTTAGAGTTACAAGTTTTCAGACTTACAGCTGGGCCACTGGAGGAGCGGAAATAATCGATCATCTTATTCGATTATCCAAAAGTGATAGATTGAAAAAATTAAATTATATCAACTGTTTTTTGACATCAGACTGTTTTTACGGTTAACCCCCATTTCATTAAATTCACGATATTTTTAGAACGTTCGTAATGTTAGTAAAATATATAAAGTATTTGTATTTATGCCAAAGCTACTCAGACTATATGACGCCGTCCCTCATTTTGATCTACTGACCAAAGGGTAGGCAGCCAGTCAGCGGCATTCTACCACCCACTGTCCACGCTAAAGGATACACTGTCACTCTTATAACACACCCACAGTTTAAGGGTGTGTGGGGTATTTTGTGGTAACTCAAGGATTCGCTAGTCCTGGCTAGTCAGTTCTGATACCACAGAGCCAACCTGCACCCAAATATTTACATATTTCCCAGATGAAAGTTCATAGATACTTCTATAGCACGTGCACTTGATACGGTTCCCAGCTCGTTCAATTGTTTATAAAGCAAAGTTCCTTTTATGCCATTGTACCAGAAACCGGACCACTCGAGTACCTTACTGTCTGTAGTTTGTTTAACCTAAAATTTATTAATTTGTTTTAACTCTTTAGAATATGACAATAGATACCTGAATATCAGTGTTAAGAGATTTTAATTCAACCTTACGATTTAAATATATATATTTTTAATTAAACGATGAAGTAAGATTGTTTATAATACCCGATTTTAAAAATGGAACATCCTAGTTTAGAAAAAATCATAACTGAATTGTTTTTGATACTTTACCATTAATATTATTCAAATCATTAAAGATTCTTTGTTTTGAATTTCGCGCAAAGCTACACGAGGGCTATTGGCGCTAGCCGTCCCTAATTTAGCAGTGTAAGACTAGAGGGAAGGCATTTAGTCATCTCCACACACCGCCAACTCTTGTACCAACGAATAGTGAGATTGACCGTACATTATAACACCCCCTA